ATTGTTTAAATTAAGAAAGGTCAATGTTTGACCAAATTGAATTGAATGGATTGAGCCTGAAAATTTCAATTAAACAAAATTATTCTCATCCCGATTTCCTAACACTTGACAATAAAGCAATTTCCTAAATACCGATGCCTTATATATATATATATATATATATATATATATATATATATAGTAGAATAATAACTTGTTTTGAGAGTACATCATAAATTAGTCTCTCTATTTTTTTAAAAAAAATTAATTAATTTTTATTTAAAAAATTAATTATTTAATCTTTTAACGAGTGTTGATCATATTTAATTTAATAGTATTAACATGTCATTTTTTTCTCATAAATTCTTTTATATTTTTTTTACTTATTTTTTAAAACTAAAAATCAAAATAAATTGAAAAAGAACGAAACGATTTCATTTATAAGAAATTTAAAAATCTAATACCTAAATAATTAGTTTTTAAAACAAAAAAGCTAATTTATTTATTTATCAAAACTCAAAGAACTTATTTATAATTTACTCCACATTTTAGGTTTCAGAAGTTTAGATCCTCCATTTTCTCACTTAATTAAGAATAGCAAAGCCCCTTTTATTTTTACCCCTCAAATCCTTCCCACAAGTCTTTACCTCCCTTTATTGTAAGAAAAAATGAAAGGAATTTGAAATCCAATTATGTAGTACAACGTACAACCAAGTTGATCAAGAAACAATTATGTAGTACAACGTACAACCAAGTTGATCAAGAAACAAAATCTCACAAAAAAAAAAAATATATATTACTAATTAAGCTCAACAAAATCTCACGTGATCAAGAAAATAGTAAACAAAATAATAGTACAAATTAAGTGAAAGGTCAAAAAATAAGCCAATAAAATCTCACAAAAATAAAATCCTTGATAACATGAAGATACTGCAAATTTCTAAATAATAGCGACATGGATTCCGTAGGTACGAATAAGCTCACAATTAAAAAATGAAAAACCTAAGAATTAGAAAGAAGATAAGAGCACATGATTTGGCAATGGAGAATGGTGGTGCCATATCTCTCATGGTGATTTGGTGGGTTCAAGTCCCCACCTCCCATCTTCTGGGCTCTATCTTCTGCTCTTTTCTGCGTTTTAAATTATTTATAATTGGACATGCTCTGTTTCTTTTTGAACTCCCAACTAAAAAATTCTGGCACCCTATAACCTCTTGGCATCTACTAAGAATGTAATATTTTTTATTTTTCCTGGCTATCGTTATCAAAAAATTAAAAAAAAAACATGATGACACTATTGCATTTTAGACATTATGCAACAGTTTTTTAACTGCAATTCAAAATCCGTTGTTAACATAACGCTATGGCTATTGGCAACGGTTTTGCAACAATTCAAAACTGTTGCAGTAAAATTTGAAAAATTTTATAATACACAAAGATTAATTAGTGGCATGTACAGTAGTTATTTTTTGTATTCACTTTGAAGAGAGAGATAGACACATAAAAAAAAGAGAAATTACATCTATACCCACCAAAAGTGATAAAAAGATTTACACGTCCGTTCAAATTTTTTTATTTTCTCTCTCCTATTTTTTCTCTCTCTTTTTGTGTGTCTATCTCTCTCCTCAAAGTGGACCCAAACGAGTAATTACTGTACATGCTATTAGTTACTCTTTGTCTATTATAAAATTTCTCATTAAATTTTATTTTCGCTTTCCCATATTAATCGGGTTAGATTTTTTTACTTTTTGTAAAAATTTGAGTAATATCTACTGATTTAAATTCAAAATAGATTTAGATTTTAATTAGTGTCATTTCCAAAATTGATTTAGATTTTCATACTAATTTCTAATGTAATTTGCATGTTAATTAAACTAGATTAGTAAAAGGGGTGGGTAGAAGAGAAAGATGAGGGAACTTTAATCAGCAAAAGGAAAAGGCCAACACCCAAGAAAGGGGAAAAAATAAACACAAACAAGATCATGTGCAGGCTTGTTTAAGGTTGCTTTATGCTCAACTAATTAAAGGTGATTAACTTTGGTGATTAGCAGTTAATTAGTACGTTTTCTTGTGTTTCTTTATGGCTTCGGCAATAGCTAGGTGGCCCCTCATTGTCGATTCTTGACTTGGTGGATTTCCTGTTCTGATCAAGCAGAAAAAAAATGTTACCTCATAAGAATCGGAATATAACCAAAAGAAATCCAATTGTAACCAAAGCAAATCCCAAATAAGATAACAATCAACCCTTTATTCAGTATCTTCTCAAAAGTAACCAAAATCTTTATAATGGGCCTACGAAACAAATCTGCCCTTAGAATAATGAAGATCTTCACGTTTACATTGATTTTGACCCCAAAATCTTGTATTGGAAAAATGGGTGGTTTTCCTACGCCGGGCAAAAGTTTCATTTATTATATTTCTCTATTAAAGTTGGACTGTGATTAGATAGATCACAGCATCACCAATCAAAATCATAATATTATATTTTCGTTGGGATTTTAATTTTTTCGGATCCAGTTATATAGATTGAGATTTGGGCTTGAAACTACAGAATAGAATAGAAGTATTCATGTATCTTTTAATTTTTAATTTTTTAATGAATAATGCTAATTTTGCAAACAAAGTTGTTCCTGAAATCAATAGCCACGAATTTCAATCATTTGATTTTGTGGAATCCATTCATTCAATTGATGAGATTTTCTAGAAGTGATGTCATGAAAAATCTGAAGGTCAAATTGGAATTATTCTTTTCTAATTTCACCATTTCCATACTTATTTTGGGTTTTTTTAATGATGAGAAACTCGTACTCATAATTTTTAAATACGTACAAGTTATATATATCTTGAAAGAACACGTAATTAGCTTGATTTTCAATTGAAATAAAACCTTTACAGGTCCGATGGTGACCATAAAAATAAAGATTGTAGATTTTGGCATATTCGTGGGAGGTAGAACCTGAACCTTGTCTCGCAGGTTATTATCAGATACCTTAATCAATAAGCTATCTTGTGGATTCATACTATTGTTTACGTCTCGTGACCTATTGTTGTTTTTGTTTTAGTTGTTTGCCATTGTTGCAGCTAATTAATTAACTATTTAGATTTAATCCTTCTGTTGTTTCAATTTTTTTATTCGAGTTTATCACTCTTTTTCATATTGATTAAATTCATTTATTTTTATTTTGTTCTATAAGGATTCTTCAACACAACTTTGTAATTTCGGACGCCTACATAATATATCTTCTCGTTAGAGCAACTATTTCATTTATGAAATTACGAATTACGTAATTAAAAATAAGAAAATAAACACATAAACACATAAAAATTACTTTGTTTTAATTAATTAGGTTTTTTTCAAGTTATTTTTTCTTATTTAATTTACTTTATTTTAATTATTTAATTTTCACATCAAACAAGAAAAAAAGAAAAGAAAAGGAGTTACGGAGTTACTATATTATGGTTTATCAATTACTAATAAAAAAGTATCATATACGGGTACGAACTCACCGCCCTATGATAGAGAAATCCTCACATAATAAAACAAAGGGTAGAGAAATTTAATAAATATATAAAAAAAGGTAGAAGGCTTCTTTCAAAAAAAAAAAAAATGAAAGAGTATAGGAACTAATCTAAATAAAAACTCATTAACAGATTCTAAAACTTTTATATTTGAATGATTTTCATTAATGAGAGTGGTTTGCCCGTTGTTTTTTATGTTATAATTGACACCCATATCAAATGCTAAGATTACGAAAAAATTTATAATACACAAAAAGTAACTAGTGGTATGTATAGTAATTACTCATTGGATCCACTTTGAAGAGAAAAATAGACACATAAAACAAAGAGAAATTATATTCATACCCACTGAAAGCGATAAAAGAAGATTTTCACATACACTCAAATTTTTTTATTTTCTCTCTCCTGTTTTTTTTCTCTTTTTGTGTGTCTATCTATGTCCTCAAAGTGGACCCAAACAATAACTATCGTATACGTCACTGAGTTACTACTCGTGTATTATAAAATTTCTCACTAAGACTACAACAAAAAAACCACGAGCAAATCTAGTTTTTCAACGGAGAAAAAGAAAGAAAACCACAAATTGTTTTCTTGTTCATGGTAATATATATATTGGGTCAGTTTCTATCTGCCTAATTAATAATTTGGTACACCAAACAAAACACACAACAAGACAAGATGCAATGTCTTAACAAAAAAACCCCATAAATTAATACAAAGAAACCCCACAAATTAATTCCCATGGGTGATAAGTAATTAAATTTAATTTTATGCAACAACCATAATTAATTAAGATGTGAAGTTTCAATTGCCAAATTCAATATATTTTTTTTATCAAGGAAGACTGATCAAATGTGACTGCTAATAGAATCAATTTAGATGATGCTATCAAAACACAAATCAAGCCAGATGAACATGAAAATCTTCTTTCAAACCAGTTTAGTCCTTAAAAAATCTCTTGGCATTAAACATTAGATAAGATTTCAAGGTCGTCCACCTTGAAGAATTTGGAAATTAGGGTCAAGTATTATTATTGGCAAGAAAAATTGCATTCGCTGGTAGCAGTGCATGCACGTGCATGGAACCCTGAAACCGTACCTTCGCTGCAATTGAAAAGGTCAAGTAGGGCACCTTCCTTGAATAGTTGCCTTAAACTTTAATCGAAAGGTCAAAAATTGAAAAAGAATATAATGAGTAAGGTGCAATTATTAAAATGGAAAAAATCAAACATACATCACCTTCTTTGCTTGTTGTCTAATTCAAAAATCAACCTAGAAGATCCTTAAGATTTTCTAGGAAATCTGCCGGATCTTGCTTTCCAAACTGTCCAGATTTTCTACAGGATTTCTACATCCTATGGCTTTCCATTTAAAAGTCCCTTACCTTCCCTCCTCTCTCTTCATCCGCTTTCTTGTTTTCAATATTCTCTCTTCTTGTTTCATTTCTTGGTCCTTTCTTGGCCTTTCTTGCCTTGACAAATCATTACTGGAATTGTAATGACTATGGCTATGGCTACTATGGCTACTTTGGCTACTGAGACTCAGTTTCATGTTCTTGCTGTTGATGATAGCCTTATTGACAGAAAGTTGATTGAAAGGCTCCTCAAAACCTCTTCTTATCAAGGTATAGGTAGTCTATTATTATCGATTTCAAAGCCTACAGGGTTTCTTGGTTATTAATGTTTTGATCTTGAATTCTTGATTGCTGACAACTTTTTGGTTCTGGGTCTTTTCTACAGTCACAGCAGTGGATTCGGGAAGTAAGGCTTTGGAGTTTTTGGGTTTGAATGGAAATCTTGAGCAGATAGATTCAAACCGAGCCTCTGTTTTCCCTGACCATCGTCATCAGCACATTGAAATCAACATGATCATTACAGATTACTGTATGCCTGGAATGACAGGCTACGATCTTCTAAAAAAGATCAAGGTAGTTAACTTGATTCTGCTGCAGGATATCAATCTGTTCCTGTCCAATTGATCACGCTAGAATCTGACTATATGCTTGCATCTTTTTTTTTAGGAATCTAAATATTTTAAGGACATCCCAGTTGTGATCATGTCCTCAGAGAATGTCCCATCAAGAATCAATAGGTGAGGCAAATTAAAGATTTCATTTTCCATTTTGTACTTGACAATTTCAGATTTAAAAAATGAATCTTGTTATATTAAATTAAATCCTAGTCTGACTTGGGTTATTGACCATCTGTGCTGATCAGATGCTTAGAAGAAGGAGCTGAAGAATTCTTCTTGAAGCCAGTCCAATTATCAGATGTCAACAAACTTAGACCCCATCTAATGAAGGGAAGATGCAAGGAAGAAGATCAACCTAATAACAAGAGAAAGGGCATGGGAGAAATTATCAACTCCCCTGATAGAACCAGAACAAGATACAATGATGGCTTGGAAGTTGTCTGATCCCCGTAATTTCCCATCTCAATTTTACCTTCTTTTTTTTCCTTCATTAGATTTGACAACACAGGGTCAAAGACAATTTAGATTCACTGAGAAAGATGGAAATCAAGAAATTAATTGTGATGTTTAGGATTTATCCTTTACTAGTTCCATTGTAAATTACCACAGAAAAAATATTCAATTTTGTTTTGTTAAATCTAATCAACAATTATGCAACTCTTCTTTATCTCCCAAATCTTTGTGACTCTGAGACTCTCTCCATTTTTTTTCATGCTAGTCAATTTTTTTATCCAATCCATTGAATCAACAGGGTATTGCTTGCACGTTTTGTATAATATACAGATTATTGAAGAAATCGTTAGTATTTTTTTTCTTAACTTCCAAGTTTCCAAAGAGCTGGGTTCAATTCACCTTCAACCACTGCTGTTTATTTTATAAGAGAAAGATTCCATTTAAAATCAAATACAACAGGATGCTTCATTGAATTTTGAAGATACAAAATGAGAAATTTTAGAGTTGAATTCAACAACTTAATTTGCTTCCACTTTCATATAAATATTTTTCAAGAGCTAGCAATTATGTTGTTAACTCTTTTCCTTCAAACTTTGTTTGAATTTTTACAATATTCTTCTCTTAACAAAACGTTCATGATATCTATATAAATCAAGCTTCCTTTTATGTTTCTAAACCACCTTGTTTTGCAAAGAATTGGTTCCATAATTATTATTATTTTTCACCAAAAATTGATCTAATTGTGTGGTACAAGCTCAAAAAACAGAAGGAAACAAACCACAAAACCATAAAAAAAAAAAAAAGTATATTATATGCATGCAATTAATATTTGATTCAAAAATATAATTTGAATCCAAGATTATCTGTTATCATTATCCAAAAAAATCTTTTGTGGATATCATTAGATTGTGATGGAACAAGCATAGTAGTCTCTAGGGTCAAGAAGGGTGGGATAGAAGATAGATTTATCATCACAGGACCCATTTGTTTCTGCTGTCTCTGATCGTGAAAGCCAAAAAAAATTTGGGGCCCAAAATTGCTTTTTTAGCTTTGGGTCTTCGTTTACAAGGTGGGCCGGCCAAATTTAATTTAACCTTAGAGGGCAGGTTCCAAACTGAAAGCAGCTTTACTGGGCCCAGAAGGTCAGTTGCGTTACGATGTTTTTTTTTTTTTTTTTTTTGACAATTGTTTTTTTATAACAAGTTGTTTGTTGAGTAAATTATAAATTAGTCATTTTAGTTTTGAAAAAAATGAATGATTTAATCTCTTTTTTTTAAGTAATTATTTAGTTTTAAATTTTTTTGTTACTTAATCCTGTTTATTCCTTTTCAATTTATTTTATTTTTTTTAGAAATAAAAAGAGAAAAAAACAAGTAAAAAAATATGAAAGAATCGATGTGAAAAAATGATTTTTTTTATAGATGGAGTGATATTAAATTAAAAGTGGTCAGGAATAGTTAATAAACTAGATAATTAAATTTTTGAAACAAGAAGACTAATTTATTCATATATATATATATATATATATAAACTAATTTAAATACTCATTGTTGCTTAGAGTACCGACGTTCATATGATTCCAATTAAAGCCTTCCAATTATATGGATTAATTCATGCTTTTAAGTCACGTTTTAGAGAAATCCATAAGTAATAACTAGTTTTATTTCGGAAGATCATAGATAACAATTAACATTTATTCTTGTCATTTATACTTGTGTTTTTTGTGTTAGGATATAATTGGAATATAGTTAAGTATAGCCTTTCATCTATTATGAAGTGTTTGTTTCTCGTTTTCGAGTAATGGTGAATGTTAATTTCATATTAATCTTAGTATTTAAAAAAATTTAAATTATTTGAGAATTGTTTAATTTCACGATAAATCAATCCAGATATAAATAATCTATTTAACACATATGATAAAACAAATTTAACTTTTACAACATGAAAACCAAGCTAAAATATTTTAATTACTAAACTCTTAAAACTTCTATTACGGAGATCTTGTAGAAAAACTACATCAATTAAACACAACAGAATTAACGGACAAAGAAAAGACATGTTGAATAGTTGTTTAAGGATTGTTTAATTTTTAATTCCATGATATATCAATCTCGGTGTGAATAATTTATTTTATATGTGTGATCTGTTATAAAATAATGAATGTCCATATGAATGTCCATCTACTTTTCATATCCCCACTACTCATGATCTTTAATGTGATTCAATTCACCATTCAATATAAGAAATTGAAAGGGTGATGCAATTGATGTACTTTTAATTATTCATAGTCCCTTCTAATTCTCATCTCAATTTTAAGGCTTATAAATAGGCTTGATTGTTCATTTGTTGATGTATAAGTTTCATAGAGAGAATAAGAGAAACTTTGAAGTTCTTATCACTCATATTCACATTATAATGATTTCATTTTCTTGTTATTCTTTTCTTCAATTCTCCTATCATTTCTATTTATTTTATAACACGTTATCGGCACGAAGCTCTAACCAATCGAGACAATAGACCACAAGGTATGTATCTATCAAAAGATTTAATCTATTGTTTCAACAATTGGATTTCTTCTACACAAGTGCTCCACGAAAAGATCTAAATTATTTAGATCATTAAGAGGTATGTATCTAATTTATTCATATACTTTAAATCTATTGATACATGAAATATATATTTGAAAAACTTAAATAATCTACTAATGATCTAATATATGTCATTTGAAAAGCTTTAATTTTATTATTATATTTGTTCTTATTCTCTAATATTATTATTATATATTGTATTATAGAATTTTTATCATATCAAACCTCATAAACTTGATTTAGTTACTCTTAATATTTTGAATAAGAATTATTGATTATGAGTGCTTGATTTTGAAAAAATATTCTCTAATTTTTATGTCTTGGATATGCTCCCGTAGTAGCATATCAAGAAAAAGAGTTTAAGAAATATTCTGAATCGATTTCATATTTGCTCATGGCTAAATAAAATGAAAAGCTATCGATGAAAAAGAACAAATCTCGTCCAATTGGATCTATTCCATTCCATGAAGTGAATGTGACAATTTATAATAATTTTAGACATGGACGAAGATGTAGTCATAGCCATAGATGTTGTCAAAATAATTATCATTATAATTGTGATGACATAATATTACATCTCACCACCGAAGTGGATAACTATGAAAAAAAGGAGATAAAATCAATATTCTGAAAAATAAATATTATAGATGTGGAATGAAAGAATATTGATCGTGTACTCGCCGTACACTAAAGCACCTCATTGAGCCTTGTCAAGCCTTATTGAAAAATAAAGAGTAAAATATGAAGGCCACTTTTATATATCAAAGTAATAGTAATTGAAATGAATTATTTGTTATTTTTCATAAATAAAATATTTTATATTTATTATAATTTATGTCGTATATTGATGGTTACAAATTTATTTTACTATTTATTTATTTTGTTTATGTTTATGAGGCATATATTGATTTATTTGATTATTTATTTTATGTAAATATTATATATGATAATATCAATATAATAGAAAGCTCTAGAAGAGTGACTATATTATTATCTAAAGAGATAGATTTTGAAGGCTCTAGAAGAGCGATTATATCATGATTTGAAGAGATAAATTTTTGAAGCTCTAGAAGAGTGAATAAATTATTACTTGAAGAGAAAATTTTTAAAGGCTCTAGAAGAGTCGATATATTATTACTTGAAGTGACTAATTTAAAGGCTCTAGAAGAGCAAATATGTTATTATCCGAAAGGATAAATTTATTATGAATGATGTAATATTCTCTTCAAAGTCTCATGGATATTTGTTGAGTTTCAAAGATATTTATCTAAATTGATATCATATCAAGATAGCAAATGCGAATTCTTATATGTTATAATCATTATACCGGGGAGAAAATATCTATAAAAAAAATTTATCTATTTTCTCTTCTAGTCTTTATTACAAACATTGAAATGATTGAAATAAATATTATAGTAAACCGAAGTTTACTAATTCAAATACTTTTATTATATGACATGACCGAGTTGTGCTATCTTAGGTCTTTTATGATGCGAAAAATTATTAAAAATTCATAAGGACATCTATCGAAGAGCTAGAAGATTCTTCAATTTAATGAACTTTCATGTTTTGTATGTTGCCAAGGTAAATTGATGATTAAGCCATCATAAAGTAAAATTGAGATTGAATCTCCAGTATTTTAGAATATATTCAAGGTGATATATGTGGATTAATTCATCCACCATGTGGACCATTTTAATATTTTACAATTTTGATAAATGCGTCCATAAGATGGTCACATATATGCTTGTTATCTATTTGAAACTTGACGTTTTCGAGATTGCTAGCAAATAATTTGATTTTAAGCATAATTTTCAAATTATGCCATTAAAACAAGTCGCCTTGATAATGCCGATGAATTTATTTCTCAAGCATTAAATTATTATTGATTGGCTATTAAAATAAAGGTTGAACATCCCGTTGCTCATGTTCATACTCAAAAAGGTTTAGCAAAATCATTTATCAAAAGGCTCTAATTGATAGCTAAACCATTATTTAAAAATAAAACTCTCTGTTTATGTTTGGGAACATGCGAGTAACGAGTTATTCACATATGACCTATAAGTTATCGAAATTCTCTCATCTTCGGTTGATTTATGGTCATCCGACATTGCGAGTGTATATCCTTAGTGCTCCTTCATAAGAAAATAAAATGAGCACTTAAAGAAGATTGAGAATATATGTTGGATTTGAATCCTCTTCGATCTTTTGATTCATGAATAAGAAGTATTTTTACGGCTCGATTTATTGACTTTCATTTTGATGAAAAAGTTTTTCCAACATTAGGGGAGAGAGAAAAATAAGTAGTTGAAAATGTTGAAAAAAAAGATTACATAGAGTACTCTATCTTTATATCATATTGAATCTCGTACAAAATAATGTGAACCGAAGTTCAAAAGATAATTCATTTATAAGGTATTAGAAACCGACTACTAGATGCATTCTTAGATCCTAAATGAGTAACTATAATGCATGTCCCCGTCGAGAATGCTTATATTAAAATTAATATTCCGGAAGGACGATCTATTAATGTTATAGCTAATAAATCTAAAGCACGCTCGAAGTGTGGAAGATCGATCGATTTTAAAGATAAAAATCCCTAAAAGAAAAGGGCAAGATGAAAATATTCACAAAATGGTCCAATATATTTCGATAATAGGCTTCCGAAGAAATCCAAATACTTGAGAAAAATCAAGAGATTTTGATAAATTATATCAATGCGGGGAGAAAATAGGATCGAAAAGAAATATCTATTGATAAGATTTTTGCATATAATATTGCAATTGATATTATGGATGAAAATAAGGATCCTAAGCCTAAATTATTGAATAATGTCGACATAAAAATGATTGGCCTAAATGAAAAGAGCAATCTAGCAAAATTATGTTCTCTTATAAAAGAGTAGTTTTTTGAACCCATAGCTAAAACACCGAAGATGTTAAGCTAGTGGGATACAAATATGTATTTATGCGAAAATAAAATAAAAAAGATGAGATTATAAGATATAAAACAAAACTTTTAACACAAAAGTTTTCGTAAATAATTGACATTGACTATGAGGAGACATATTCTCCTATAGTGGATGCAATTGTCTTTTGTTATCTCATTAACTTGGAAAAATATATGAAAAACATTCATATGCATGCATTTAATGAATGTGATCACGGTTTATTTGTTCATTTGAAATGATATCGGTATGAAAGTCCTAAAAGGACTTAACATGCCGAAGCATATAATACATATTATCGAGAAAAGAATTCAATTAAACTATAGAGATCTCTATTAGGATTATTTTAGTATTTGTTTTATTATTTTGGTTTTTAGAAATTCAATTTATATTTTTTATATTTTATTTTTATATCTACTTGTTTATTACTAACCCGTGTGCATGTGATATAATCATTTCAATGATTATTTCTTGAAAGAAAGTTATAAAAAATAACCCTATTTGTTCATATGTTTTTATTTGAAAAAGGGTTTGTTTTATATGTTGATAACTTAAATATTATTGGAACTCTCGAAGAGATTCCAAGTGTCATAAGTTATCTAAAAAGAGAATTTGATGTGAATATCTTGAGAAAAAAAATGTTATCTCGACTTGCAGTTCGAGCACTCGGAGAATGAGATTTTCATTCATCGGTCAATTTATATAGAAAAAGGTTATACAATGATTCTATATAAAGATCATTCATTGACTAGCCCAATGATAGTTCATTTACTTGATATCTAAAAAGACCCTTTTTGACTTCGAGAAGATAACGAAGAATTACTTGGTCTCGAAGTACCATATTTTAGTGCCATTGGTGCATTAATGTATTTTGCTAATAATACTCGACTTGATATAGTCTTTTCTATAAATTTGTTAGTAAGTCATAGTTATGTTTCAATATAGAAACATTGAAATAAAGTTAAATATATACTACGTTATCTTCGAGGAATAATTGATATGAGTTGATATTACTCCAAAAAATGAAAGAAAAGATTAATTATGCAGATGCGGTTTATTTAAGCTGATCCATACAAAGCTTGATCTTAAACTCGGTTATGTATTTACATATGAAGATACGAGCTATATCATGGCGTTCTATGAAGCAAACTATAGTCGCCACATCTTTAAATCATGCGAAATATCAATTCACGAGGCAAGTCGGGAATATGTTTGGCTAAGATCAACAATCCATCATATCCGAGAGATATACGGTTTATCTATCGACAAAAGAAGTTCCAACAATATCATATGGGATAATGTCGCTTGCATAGTTTCATTGAAGGAATAATACATCAAAGTGACAATCCAACGATTTGTTCACTAAGGTGTTACCTACCATAACTTTTGCGAAGATAATTCACAAGATTGAAATGCATCATCTTAGAGGTCTTAAATAATATCTTTAACGAGGAGGAGACAAACATGAAGATTAATGTGTGCAAGAAATATTGTACTCCTTTTCCTTCACTAGGATTTTTTTCCCCACCTGGGTTTTTTCCTAGTAAGGTTTTAATGAGGCATATTCCTCGTGCGATGGACATTCAAGTGGTAGTGTTATAAAATAATGAATGTCCATATGAATGTCCATCTACTTTTCATATCCCTACTACTCATGATCCTTAATGTGATTCAATTCACCATTCAATATAAGAAATTGAAAGGGTGATGCAATTGATGTACTTTTAATTATTCATAGTCCTTCTAATTCTCATCTCAATTTTGAGGCCTATAAATAGGCTTGATTGTTCATTTGTTGATGTATAAGTTTCCTAGAGAGAATAAGAGAAACTTTGAAGTTCTTATCATTCATATTCACATTATAATGATTTCATTTTCTTGTCATTCTTTTTTTCGATTCTCCTATCATTTCTATTTATTTTATAACGGTGACAAAATAAATTTAATTTTTTAGTACATTAAAACCAAATTAAAATATTTTAATCAATAAATCAATCTCTTAAAATATTTATTACAAAGTTTTTGTAAAAAAAATAGCATCAACTAAACACGACACGATCAATAGAAAAAGAAAGAAAACAAAAATGCTCAATAGTTGCAAATAAGAACATTCAAACAAAATTTTCAGGCACACGAAGAAAATGTTTGGTTTTCCTTTTTATAGGCCAACACACGAAGAAGAAACGCCAAAAACAAAGCCAATAATAGAAAAATATCTATAGCAAAATCACTACAGGACACTACAAAACGGTACCGCAAAAGCAACAAACAAAATGTTCCACCAGAGGCCCCATCATCACATGGCCAAAATCTTAATGGTCACATGTGACAGGACCACGCAACAAACAGTACGTAGTCAATATCGTTGACTCAAATCAGTTCTATAAATAATTTATTGGCCCAAGTGCTTCAAATTAGGGTCGAGTCATTCAATAATTATTTTTTATAAATATACAAAATAAATAGTAAGGTTCCGTCTCAAAAAAATTATCTATTTTTTATTTATATCATTTTTAAATATTTATTTGATCAAAATTTAAAATGATGTATTTTTTTAATATACTTCTAATTAAAATTTATCTCATAAAAAAATATTCAAATACAATATATATATATATATATATATATATATATATATATATATATATATATCAATTAAAATGAAATTAAAGATGACAATTTATTTGATAAAAAAAATATTAAGAATTTTGTTTTTATAAAAATATGATTTCGGATTATATATTGAGGAAAAATATAGTTTTAATACAAAAAAATTAGTTTAAAATTCCTTTTAATTATGTTTTCTTTTAAATTATTTCCATGGTATTTTTCTTTGCCAAAATCAGCATGTGATTACATTCCATTACATTTCCTTTTTTAAAAAACAATTCTTTATCTGAATATTTAATATATCAAAAACTAATTTGAAATACACTCAATCATATTTCTTTTTATATTGTTTCTAATTTTATTAATTTTTTGCAGCAAAACTAAATGGAGATTACTCTCAATCATATTTCCTTTTGAATTAGTTTTCATTTACCAAAATTAAAATATTTATAAATTTCGTAAACAAACTAAATATTTATAGAATTTGTTTTCTCGGATATTGAATCTCCTATATCTAAATTAGGGTTCATTAGAGTACATTCACTCTGTGGTCACTTTTCTATTATGTAATAGCGAATTCTTTGTTTTAGAATTTTCCTTCTCCTTTTAATAATAATAATAATAAAATATATATAACTAGATAAACTATAGATTCGAGTAGATCTTTGTAATAATTTATCCTGAAATTAGTAAACTCTATTTGGAGTAAATTATAAATTAATCTCTCTTGTTTCAAAAGATAAATTAATTAGTTCCTTTACTTTTGAAGACTAACTATTTAGTCCTTTTTGTTATTTTTTAATTATTTTAATTTTTTTTAAGAAATAAAAAAGGAATAAAAAAAGTAAAAATATGAAAAAAAATTACTAGAAAATAAGATATATGATAAAATAAAAAATATTAAATTAATCATAATTAATACTAATTAACAGTATTAAATAATTAGTTTTTGAAAGTATAAGAACTAATTAATTTATTTTTCGAAACGAAAGTAACTAATTTATAATTTACTCTTTCCAGTTGAGATACCATATTTTTATTCATGAATAGATAGCGGGCGTGACAGAAAATTTCAGTGATTTCTTGAACATGTGCCTTTAGGGCACAATTTAGGAAAAAGAAACCAAACTGCATTTAAAAATCAAAATCAAAATCAATCATTTTCAAGAACTCTCAATTCCTTCTCTCTTAATTAAATAACAGATTCTCTCACTCTCTACTCCACTCTCATTAATAACAAACAAACTTCACTTTCCCTATATATTTTTTTCTCTCCTTTCTCTCGCATTTTCTCTCCAACCAAACAAACAAACAAAAAAAGGGAAAGCATAAATCCTCGAATCCAACGACCTTTACAGAATCTTCGATTGCATCATATTCTCTTCGTGTTGCGTTAAAACCTAATAATCCTATTTTTTATTTGTCGTTTCCGACAATTTTTTTTTCACGTTTTCGACGATTCGAGATTTAATCGATTCGTTTTGCAATTTTTTTAGCTGCTGGAATTTTTATTTTTGGTAATGTGATGGTTGCGAGGAGCTGAGAGTGAGTGATTTAGGGTTTAAATGAGCTAATGTGTGTTTGCGTAGGTGGATTTTGTTGTTGTGGTGGTGGTGGTGAGATGTGTAGGGTTTTGTCAGAGTTTTGATGTCAAGAACAGAGAGAATGGCTGCTTTGGAGCAGCCGTTGAGAGTGGGCCCCTTAGAGAGAGACATTGAATTGGTAATTTTTTTTTCTCTTGTTGTTGTTTATTTTTATGACAAAGTGTTGTCGATTTTGCCTATTCCTATTTTGTTGATGATCGAGAAGGTGTAGTGTTATTTTGTTTGATTTTTTCTGTCCTCGTTTTGTTTGTTTTTGCGATTAGAGTGCAATTTAGTTGTTTTGAAAGCGTAAGAAGACGATGCTGATTAAATGTTATGGATATTATGAAGTTGATTTGGGATTGATTGTGTTTGCTGGCACTCTGTTTTTTCTCTTGAAAGTTGAGATTGCATTGCTTTGAATATTTTTTTCATAAATGGTTTCAAATTAGTGAAATGGAGTTTGAGGGTTTTTGATGCAATTAGGTCCATCGTTCTTGAGCCTCTGATTATCATTTAAGCTACTATGTGCATTGAGAGTTTTGGTAATATCTATTATATCAATGTGATGAGTAGGATAACTTTTACTGTTATTTGTTCATAACTGTTGTTTGAACTGTGAAATGCCTGTATAGGATGTGTTTGTGTCAACATGTCGTCATATGTGGTTATTGGCAAGTCTTAATGAACTATTCTAGTTTATTTTTTGGGGTAAGCTAATTGCATTTGTGTATTTTCGTAAGTATGCATGATACATGGGAAAGCATCAAGACTTATTGTCGAGACACAACTTTATGCATGTTTTTTCTGGAAATTTCCGAAGAATACTGAAAAGATATAAATAAAATAGTCAAGCCAAAATGTTATTAGCACAATCTGTAATGCAAATTGGAACACGGACTGACAGATCTCTTTTCACCTTCTTATCTTTGTGAGTAGTCATATACAGAACCATGGATGTTATTCTCTTGCTTAGTTTATTTTGAATTCAGTTTCTTGCTGCATTCTTTGCCACAGGCCATCACTGCTCTTAAAAGAGGAGCTCAGTTGCTCAAGTATGGCCGTAGAGGGAAGCCCAAGTTTTGCCCCTTCAGGCTGTCAAATGTAAGATTACATTTAAGGCATGTGTTTAAATGTTAATTTTCTTCCTTCTCATTTTGATTTCAGTTTCTTGCTGCTGCTGGCAATTTATGTATATGTGTTGTATTGTGTATATTCTGTTTTGATGTTGTAGGATATTGACTATTGAACTCTATTGTAATTCACCTCTATTAAAATTCTGTATGTTGTAATATGCATGCCTTTGTTTTTGGTTCTTTCAGGATGAATCTGCTCTAATATGGATATCTGGGAAAGAGGAGAAGCATCTTAAACTAAGCCATGTCTCCCGAATTATCCCTGGTCAGCGCACTGTAAGTTTATCCATATTGAGATACTTTTTCTTATTTTAAGACTTTTTCTTATTTTAAGCATGTGGCATGTAGTAGCGCGAATAACTTGGGTTTTCAAATTGTTTGAGCTTCAGCTTCGCTTGCATATTGATATGCTGCTTTACACTTCACCATATCAGGGATGCATGTTCATAGATGCGAAGTTTCAATGAATAGACCTATCTACTTTTATGAGAATTTATGGAAGCGAAATTACAAGAATACTGTCTATGTTACTTTATCAAATACTATGACATTTGAAACTTTTATTTTAGATTTAACTTTCATGCAATGTGTTTGTGTGGATCTGCTGTCTTCTAGCTTTCAAAAGATGTACTGTTTATTCGTAGAAGAGGCTTGGTGGCTATTTTTTTCATACAGAAAAAATAGTTTTTGATGGACACTTCATTTTTTGACGTTTTCTATATTTGCCTTGAACATTGGAGCTAACAATAAAATCATGAGGGGCAATGAATCTATGCTTGTAAATTATTTCTTGTACTTGTGATTTTTTTTTGTCTTATATTGTAATGCATGTATCTTGTCTGCTTCTGATGATTATGGTTTTTGCTTTATTCTTTCTTTCCCCTTGAGAAAAATATGAAAATTATATCCTTTTGCTTGTAAGTTTCTGCTAATTTCTCAATTACTTTTAAGATTCAATTTACATTTTATTGGAACCATGATTTTTTAACTGATTGCTCTCAATTTTGCTTACTACAGCCAATTTTTCAGAGATATCCTCGTCCTGAGAAGGAATACCAGTCATTTTCTCTTATATACAGTGACAGGTCTTTAGATTTGGTAGGTATATTCTTTTTAAGGCCAGTTTTTCATTCTCTGTCAACAAAGTTATGCTGTGTTCAAAAATCTTGAGAGTCGATCTAATATATTTGCAGTCCCTGTTCCTTTAAGTACTGTATAAACCCCTTATTGGCTAAAAAAATTCATCATCCACTCATCAAGCTCTTTTTTGCCAGATATGCAAGGACAAAGAAGAAGCTGAAGTCTGGTTTACTGGTCTAAAGGCACTATTATCGCATCGTCAGCTTTGGAAAAAGAGGGAAGAAACTAGTAACGATGGACTTTTATCAGAGGCAAATAGTCCTAGATCATACACCCTTAGAAGTTCTCCTTTGAGCTTCGCATTTGGTAGTGATGATAGTTCACTGAAGGTATTGTTTTTGTTCCTTCATTCTCAAAAGTTTGTTTCACTGCTATGTGCATTAAAGAGAATTCTTTTGTCGCTGATATAGGATGGAGTGGGACCTGTTCCTCTTCGTACTCCATATGACAGTCCCCCTAAAGTTGGTTCAGAGAAGGCATTGTCTGATGTAGCATACACTGTGCCTCCTAAGGTATTATTTCCATTAGAATCTGCTTGTGAGCCTGGCTTAGATGAAACAACAGGGCGTCTGAAGGGTACGAACGCGGATGCTTTTAGGGTTAGTTTGTCAAGTGCTGTTAGCTCATCAAGTCAAGGTTCTGGTCGTGATGATAATGATGCATTAGGGGATGTTTATATTTGGGGGAAGGCACTGGTGAGGGCATTTTAGGTGGCGGAGTTCATAAAATTGGAGGTTCTGGTGTTCAGATGGATTCTTTTGTGCCAAAACCCTTGGAATCTGCAGTTCTATTAGATGTTCAGGCTATAGCTTGTGGTCGGCAACATGCTGCTTTGGTAACCAAACAAGGAGAGGTTTTCTCTTGGGGAGAGGAACTTGGAGGCAGACTTGGACATGGTGTGGACTCTGACGTCTCACATCCAAAGTTTGTAGATGGACTAAAAAATTCCAATGTTGAACTTGTAGCATGTGGAGAATATCATTCTTGTGCAGTAACCCTTGCAGGTGATTTGTACATATGGGGTGGTAATACTTATAATTTTGGGCTCCTGGGATGTGGAAACGAAGCTACTCAATGGGTTCCAAGAAAGTTAAATGGACCTCTAGAGGGGATACATGTCTCATCCGTTTCATGTGGGCCATGGCACACAGCTGTTGTAACCTCTGCTGGCCAATTGTTTACTTTTGGAGATGGAACCTTTGGGGTTTTAGGGCATGGGGACCGCAGAAGTGTGGCAACACCTAGGGAGGTTGAGTCTCTTAAGGGCCTCCGCACCATGCGAGTAGCTTGCGGTGTGTGGCACACAGCTGCAGTTGTTGAAATCATGGTTGGGTCATCAAGTTCCAGTAATTGTTCTTCAGGAAAACTCTTCACATGGGGAGATGGAGATAAAGGTTGTCTTGGGCATGGTGATAAGGAAGCTAGACTGGTGCCCACTTGTGTTGCTACTCTTGTTGAACCCAACTTCTGTCAAGTTGCTTGTGGTCAAAGCCTCACTGTTGCACTTACAACCTCGGGCCAGGTTTACACCATGGGAAGCCCTGTTTATGGTCAATTGGGGAATCCTCAAGCAGATGGCAAGCTCCCAACTCGTGTTGATGGAAAGCTCATGAAAAATTTTGTTGAAGAATTAGCCTGTGGTGCTTATCATGTTGCAGTTTTGACCTCAAGAACTGAAGTTTACACATGGGGAAAGGGTGCAAATGGCAGACTAGGCCATGGTGATACAGATGATAGAAATTCGCCATCTATAGTTGAAGCTTTGAAAGACAAACAGGTTAAAGGTATTGTCTGTGGTACTAGTTTTACTGCAGCTATCTGTCTTCATAAATGGGTATCTGGTATTGATCAATCAATGTGTTCTGGTTGCCGCCTTCCATTTAATTTCAAACGAAAACGGCACAATTGTTATAACTGTGGGCTTGTTTTCTGCCATTCATGTAGTAGTAAAAAGACTCTCAAGGCTTCAATGGCTCCAAATCCTAACAAACCTTATCGTGTCTGTGATAATTGTCTTAGCAAACTTAGAAGAAGCACTGAAACTGACTCTTCAATTCACTCTGCTCTTAGTAGAAGAGGAAGTGTGAATCAGGGACTAAATGAAGCCACAGAAAAGAGTGAAAATTCGAGTACTAGGTCGCAAGCTAAGCTTGGAAGAAACTTCTCCATGGAATCATCTAAAGAGGTGGAAAGTATATCTTCCAGAAGAAACAGGAAGTCAAGCTCTAGTAGCACTCAGGTTTCACCCTCTGCAAATGATGCTTCTAAGCGCAATGCATTTAACAACTCTAAATCTTTTGGATCCTCTAAGAAATTTTTCTCAGCTTCTCTTCCTGGATCAAGAATGGTGTCTCGAGCAACATCTCCAACATCAAGACGTTCTAGTCCCCCCGTGCTACAACACCAACTCCAACTCGCTCACCGAATGAGTTGCCAAAACTTGTTGTGGATGGTGCTGGAAGGTTAAATGACAGTCTGCGTGAAGAAGTTGTAAAATTAAGAACTCAGGTAGACATATTACCTATTATGATTTCAGTAATCTGTTCCTAAAATTTCTCGTTTTGAGCAAACAGATATGCCCATACCATCACACATTAACTTAGAAATTTATTTTCAGTAGCTGAACTTGTATCATCTCAAACATTTTTACTTTGATTGGAAGCATAAATGTCGTGTGGTATCATGCGGCATAAAATTATAAAATATACCGAGAGGCTCCCTTTTTAACAGTTAGCGTAAAACTTTGTCTTTACTATGGTATCTATTCTTTAGTCTCCATTTTGCTTTGGTTATAATTTATTATGAGTTTCTTATGCTTGCTTCTTTATGCTTTTATTTTCCCTTGGTGGACATGGACAAAGTTCTGCAATGTTGGAAGTCATAATTAACATGGATTCATAGGTCCGTGCTGGTGATAGGTCTAATTTCAAAATCTCTTATGGTCATGGTAACTATGGTTAATGACTTGGTTGGATTAGGATCCAGCTTCGAGCTGCATGGTTCATAAGGAAACAATTGGGTACAGCTTTAGTGATTTTCTACTGGCTGTATCATTGCGTTCGTAGAGCACTCTGCTTAGGTCAGTTCATTGGTGAATTATGGCTGATGGCCTGTGTAATGTAGGTTGAAGAGCTTACACGTAAAGCTCAGCTTCAGGATGTTGAGCTGGAAAGAACAACCAAGCAGTTGAAGGAGGCTATTGCAGTAGCAGAAGAGGAGACTGCTAAATGCAAGGCAGCTAAGGAAGTAATTAAGTCACTCACTGCCCAAGTAAGTTAAAACCTCATGTTTATAACCTCCTTACTGGAGATAACTTCTTTTTACATCGTAAGTAACCATAGGAATGAAAGCCTAGAAATGTGTACTCTCACTAAATTTAAGGTATTCTGCATTGACATGGACAGGTGCTAGATCTGTCATGAGCAGAGTTTGTTCAAATCTCGAAAAGTTGGATTAGAGGAAATTTTTTGCACAATGCTTTTGGTATCACATGAATGTAATTTCGAATCTCTAGGATTTGACAGTTTGATGTGTGTCATCATGTCCTCCTTCGAGATGTTATATAAATGCAGGTCTTAATGAATTGCCTGACAAAAATAAAATGAAAATGCACTAGAGCCATACTAAAAGGTAAGGTCAACATAAGCTGAGTGTGGAAGTGTCCTTTTTGCTGCATGCTTGGTAACAGGGTCTTTATTAGCTGCATTGCATCAAAATACTAAAATTTTGTAGTTTTTTTTTCAATCGATTAGTCTTCATCGTAATTTATGTGTGGTTAATTTTTTTATTATAGCTAAAAGATGTGGCCGAAAGGGTACCTGTTGGAGCAGCAAGAAACAGCAATTCACCCTCTTTTTTTACTCTAGCAACACTCCTCCACGCGCTGTTTCTCCTGGAGTTCTTGAGCAACTCAATTTTCCCACATGTCATGAACAAGATTCAAAAGGATCAAACAGCCTGGTAGTTTCAAATATGTCAGGTAACGCTATTAATCAAACTCCACATCACTCTGAAGTGGCGCACATAGAAGCAACAGTGAGGAACAAGAACAGAACAGCAAAAGTTGAACCCACTAATGGCGATGAATGGGTTGAGCAAGATGAACCAGGTGTATATATTACCCTTGTTTCATTGCCCGGAGGTGCCAAAGATCTCAAACGTGTCCGTTTCAGGTATCCTTAAGTCATTACTCTTGTTCTCTTCAGCTTCTCCCTCACCTGTCCACCTTCTATGATTGCTTTGTTTCTCCCCTATGTTGCAACAAGTTGACTACTTGACCCGTGATATTCTCTCTTAGTGGATTTTAGCCATTATTAGCTTTGGCCTTAATTAAAGTGGTAAAGTTCCTGGCTGCTTTTAGGTTCTCTTTTTGCCAATAGATGAGTTTGGACCTGGTTTCCTTACTGCCTCTAGTACTTGTTCTCTAAAGCTTCCATCAACCTGGTGAAAGCATCCAAGTGGAGGACCAAATTTTCTAATTTAGTAATAGTTACGTTCTTTATTGGAAATCTTACACTATTGTATGTTGAACTACTTTTACTGCAGTCGAAAGCGTTTCAGTGAAAAACAAGCAGAACAATGGTGGGCAGCCAACAGAGCTAGAGTATATCAGCAATACAATGTTCCCATGGGTGAGAGGTCTCTTGTTAGTGTGGGGAGAGAAGGGTTAGCTCATTGACCTGCGACATCTTGACTCGCATTTTGCCAATGCTATTATTTGCAAGATCCGAAATTTGTTTTAAATTTCTGATCGAGGTTGGAATTTGGAGGAAGCCAATTTTGTTTTTTAGAGGGTGGAGGTGGGCGGAAATTTTTTCTCCCCTCGATCTTGCTTCTTTCACCTTCGTTTTCTTCCCACAATTGTACCCATATTTTTCGCCCTTCCTGTATTTTTTTTTTTTTTTGTTTTTCGAGGGAAGTGTTAAAGGTCGTTAGGGGTTATGTAAATTCTCTGTAAGTTGGTTGCTGACTTCGAAATCAAACAGCAGCCGTGTAAATTCACAAGCAAAATACTACACAGATTGTCTGCCATTCATAGAGTTAATGCGTCTTCCACACTTGTGGCGAATATATAGTGGCTATCTAACTGGCTGGTTCTCCATTTCTTCATCGTTCTTTTAAAGTATAATCTAGCTCAACTGGGAACGGATTAGATTGCACCAAGCCCCAATTTTCTAATTGTTTCCAGGAGCGTGGCCCTAGTAATTGCTTTAGTCCCCAAAGAAAATACCCAGGCCTTGTATCGCGTGCAGGTTTTAGCTATTTTAACCCCCATCGGCCAATGTTTGAAACAACTGAAAATGCATATTCTATCCAGCTATATAGTTTGGATTGGAAGGTCTGTGTCACAAACTAGGTTTAAGTATAAATGAATGACCAAACAGTTTTCATCCTTCTCTTGTAATAAATCAATTTGGAAGCTGTTAAAAACACGAGTTAGTCATCCTTTACAGTACATAATTGGGCATAAATATTACAAAATTCAAAAAGAATTTCACAAGATATATACATCCCAAGGCTAAAGAATACATAAACAGGAGCAAACAAGCTCAATTTGAAAATGCGTGTCAAGGCGAGCGCAAAACGTTCTAGGAGACTGAGTTAGGAAGAGTTACTAGAAGGCACAGTGTCAATTAGCATATGTTACCCAGTGTGAATGACAAGCCCCGTGGCTTGAGCATATGTCCAAAGGAGTGGAATCATGGTTTTTCACAATTGCCACACCTCTTTATTGAAATCTGCATCAGGACACCCAGTGGCTTGAGATCATCACAGGAACTGTGTAGAGTAGATTACGGAAAGGATGAGCAAATTATATTTGCAGCTATAAGAAAATGGAAATAATATGACTAGGTCTCCAGATAAGGAAAAAATTATCTGTACCTTTTACGCTCTTGAGCCTGTATGTACAAAGCTAAGCTGGGCCAAGTAGTTGCTCTCAGCAAAATCATGTAGAGAGCGGTGGGACCGGACCCCGTCACGGTTAGTTTTACTCGACTCTTCTTTCAAAACTCTTCTACAGCCATCAGCATCCTGAAAGAAAAGTAAGCCAAAATCAAATGGGGCCTCTAGCCTAAATTAGAGGAGCCTAAATTAGAGGAGAAAGAAAGGTAAATGATAAAAATGCCAAACAAAGGCATGGCTATTTAGGGATTTAGCAAAAGAAAAGTAAATTCTTCTAATAATCCTTAAGAGCTGCAGGAAAATAGAGCCACAAAAATAAGGTTCCTGACAGGTTAAATAACAAAACAGTGATACAAATTAAATCGCAATCAAACCAAAACCAACAATTATGCTTGTTTATTCTCATTAAATAAATAATAGAACTGCTTCTATGCTGTCTGTTTACAGAATTACAGTCTCAGAAGTCAGACCTGTAGGAATTCCAACATTTGCTCCTCAATTGTACCATGCATTGCTAAAGTCTCCACATTGATGGGGCGAATGGCACCCATCCGATGAGCTCGACTAATCACTTGTTCCTCCATGCTGATTAAATTTCCAATATATATTAATAATAAGAAGAAGAAGGAAAAGGAAAAAGGGGGACAAAAAGAGAGAGATGACAAGCTTCAACAAAAGCCATATGAGATTGTGGCTACAATTAGTCCTTTGTTTTTTTTTTTTTTTTGGTTTGCGCCCATCGCCAGAGATTCAAAATATGAACTTGGATCTATATTTATACAGTAATCTTTCATTTTAACTTGTAGAAGATAGCAAAAGTTGGGGGCAGAATACAAAATGTTGGAGCCAGGTACTCTATATAAATAGTATCTGGCTAACATATTATGAAATCGGGATAAAAGATTACATTTTTTTAGGAAAGAAAAGAAAGGAAATGATGAACAGTTTAGGATTTGAAAAAAATATTACCTTCTGTCCCAGATTGGCTCCATTAAGAATACATGAGTTACAAAGCTCAAATCAAGACCCAATGCAGCACTTCCATCCATTAACAGAGCCATGCATGTGGCATCATGCTGGAACGTGGCCAGTGATTTCATCTGAATACCCAAGGAATGTATCAAGAAAAAGGTAAAGGAACAAAGAAAAAAATGCATGAAAAAGAAAAAAACCAATGCCAATACCTTGTTGATTTGAGGCATTGGACTATACATTCCGGCAAATTTGATACCAGCAAATGTTAACTGGCCAAAGAAGAGAAGCCCAGGATTATTAGACTTTGGTGGAAAGATTAAGCTACACTCATTAAAAACTCATAATATAATTAACACCTACCTGCTGTTCAATCACATGTATATGCTCAAGAAATTGAGAAAATATAATAACTTTCTCCGAGGCTGCGTTGTTAACACTGAAGCAGTCCTGCTGCAGCACTACACTTGAACCACTTATTTGAGTATCCTTGTCAATGGAGCAACCACTCTCTCTACTGGCCTCCTGCAATGCTTTCAGCTTCTGTACAAGGTAAGCAACTTTGCTGCTGGATGTTGACTGCCAATCAGGATCCCAGTCATCCTGTACGAATACCAGAAAAATACATGTGACTGCCTGCAAATCCTTGATAAAAATAAATATTTCAAACTGAGAAAAGCACTTGCCTGTTTATATGAAGGTTGTAACTCAATAAGATCTTTGGGGACAGGCCACTTCGGGTTGGGATTCTCTGGCCGGGTCATTATTTCTGGACTTTGCATCTCATATAAATAACCACAGCCAGGAAAACTACACTTTTCGCCATTCAAAGCAACACAATCAAGGCACAAAAGATGCCTACATGGTGTAATGACAGGTAGACGGCACCATTCCTTGCATCTAGACAGCAAAGAGGAAAGTACAAAAGAACAAAAGGGGGCAAAATCAATGGTGGCAAACCTACGTTTGAAGATATCATGTTAATGAAGCAACACAGAGCTCAAAAAGTTACCTTAGACAGTTACCACCATACTGAAGATAGTATTTTATTAAAGCATACTCCTCTGAGATGGGATCCAGTCCTCTTTCAACTAAAATATCCATTGTTTCCTGAATATCTTCACCAGCATCTGTCACTTTAATATGCCCCGCCACACAACAAGATAGCCTGACATTTCTAATAAGAGCACTTCGAAACTTCCACTGCTTTGGGTTAAGCAAACTCTCAACATGAGAAGGATCATTCCAGTCAGCCATTAGGATATTACGTCGCACAGTAACTACCAATTCATTATAGCTTCTTGCATGATCCTCGGTAAAGTTGAGAAATGTCACATTCTTGATGCATGGAGGGATAGTTTTCAAATCTGTCTTTCTGGAACTAATCAAGCACCTGTGGAGCAAATTCAACAACCGCATGCGACCTTCTTCCATCTCTGCCTCGAATGGTCTAAGAATGCCGGCTTCCCATGACTTTTGATTCTGCCCATACGCTTCCTCCTGTAGAAACTTAAGCATTGGATGGAGATGAGACAGCTGACTATTGGGTGTGTTAGGTGTTGGTGTTCCTGTTAGTAACCAGCGATTTGAAGCCATCAATGACATAGTCATTTGCAATTTATTTGTCAAGCTAAGACTACTGCCAAGAGTGTGCCCTTCATCTAACATTACCCGGAGAAAATGCACTTGCATCAGAGGACTTTTTTCCTGTGACCCCACTCAGCGCTTAAACGACTGAATGTGGTTATAACAACATCATAATCCCAGGCCAGACTGTGAGCAGAAGGCTTTTTATGATTAGTCCAGATACAGAGCCGCAACTGGCCAGGTTTGACATGCTTTTCAATCTGGGTTTTCCAATGGTCAACTAGATTTGCTGGAACAACAACTAGAGTTGCTCTTGATAAATATAACCTGACTGAATCCAATGGCTCGCAGATAGCAATTCTAAAAGCAGCCAAATCAAATGCTAAGTTTTCAAGTTTCTGTGGGTAACACCACTTACTGACTCCCTTTTCTACCCTCCGTACAAGACCAAATGCTTCAAATATTTTATGAAACCCACGGGAATCTCCACCACCAGATAGAGAACCAGTACCTACAACTGGACTTGCCAAACCAATTGTTTCCATTAGAGAAAGTCTTTCTGGAGAAAGTTTAGCCAGCCAAGTCAACGCTTTCTTGGTTTTGGAGTTTATCATGGAATAGTGCTCCTTGAGCACACTGATGAAAAATGACACATTTTGATCCTTTCCCCCTGAACTTCCTTTGGGGTGAAATCCTGGTACATATGTTAAGGAACAGTTGTCATCCCAAGCTTCTTCAGCATCTCTACAACTCTGATGCTCGGGATCTGTATTCATGCTACAAAACCATGCAGCATTAGTATCTGCAAAACTGCCTGTAACCTTCCTCCACTTGCTGCATGCATCACATTGAACCCATGTCTCATTATATACCCCATAATGTCCAGTAATCAAATTCAACCTGCATGCCCTATCATGTCGCTGTTCCCCAGAGGCATATATAGGGGCATCAGAACAATGCTTCCTCTTTTTCTTGTTAGCAAAAACAGGTGTTTTGTCGTATTCATTGAGAAGATTTCTCTTGACGCGACTCAATTGAACTAAACGTGCTGTTGAATCTGAATATGGAGCCGGTGGTGATTCCATTCCATTAACTGGACAAGACTTGCTAAATCCCACAATCTGCTGACCTGGATTCATTGGAGTGGATTTATCCAAAGATAATTGTCCCCTGCGGGAACTCTGGTTCATTACCCTTTTTGCCAAAGGTGTGCAATTAGAGGTAAAGTTACTGCCACCAACCTCATAATAGCCACATCTCTGTTCCCCGTTATGTGCACACCAGGTTGTTTGAACTCCATCCGGTGGGTCCGCTACTGTTCCTTGTGTCTTCAGGATAAGGGAAAGAGCAGTAACAGTCTTTCCTAAGCCAGGTTCATCACAGAACATCCCCCCACAAAAGTCTCTTACAGTAGGAGCTACTCCAGTAATTATTTCACCAGAAACAGTATTTATATGGAATGGAAACCCATCTTCAGTGGATAAATTAGAGTACAGGGGATGTGGCAAGACTTGAGCATTCCGCTCACGCTGTAACATCCACTCAACTGCTGCCTGTTGATGAGGAAATAATTTAAGTTTCATACATGGCATAATTGAAACAGCCAGGGATCTTAAATGGTGACAGGTTGCGGCAACCCTGACAACATCCTTCGGACCAAGTGCAGAAAAAATGTACAACAAAATATCATCTGTTACATCCCAAATACCAGATGCCAAACAGTTATCTGCTGGTTTAACCCTTGAGGAATAATACTGTTCTTTATTTTCCACGCTAGGTAAACTCTTGAAAATTTCATGAAGATCAAAACACTTTTTCTTTGAAGAATCAGGGACATCACAATGCAAATTGCATCCAAGAACATGACAATCAGAGAGATTCCAAATGCTCTTATTATCATTTTTACAATAATCTCCTCCATTAACAAGCATGGACCTCCTCTTCTCCCAATCGCAACTGCAAACTTCAACTGTGTTACCAACATAGATAATTAAGGAAAAATCTAGAAAACACTAAATAAAACCACTGCAATTTAACCAAACATATAGCAGTTCAACTCCAGAACAAGAAAGAAAAGACATGCTTGCTAAAGGACAACTAAACCAAAAAGAACATGATAACATATCTATATTTCCTCGGAAATTTGTAGCACTTTATTCATAATGCCTAGATTCTTAAGCTGAGAAGGCAGATTAAATTAAATCCTATGCATCCTTAAACCAAAAGTGTAGTAACCTACACAAGAAATTACAATATATACACTCAGAAAAACCAATCTAAACTAAATTGTGAACAACCAATTTAAAACTTAACTAAATAGTGAACGGACATGTGCAAAAAAATACTAGAGAGCAAATCTTAAATATTATTACTAAAATTGACCACCCACCCCAAAAAAAAAAAAGTAAATAAATAAATAAAAAACCACGCTTTAAAATAAAAATAAAATTCAAAATTGCGTGGAGAAACTTCACTCCTTTTGTAACGTATTAAACCCATATCAAAGCTAAGAGCTTTATTCATCTCATTTACTTCCCACACAGAGAGAATACATTACGGATAAATTACGTAGAAAAATAAAACAAACTGGCAATCTAATAAACAAAACACAGTAATTAAAATTCAAAAACAAAGTAAAAACACAAACCTCAAGTGCCCAAAGAGAGACCCAGCAATTGACCCGGACTTCGGAAACTGCCACCCAGACAAAACCGAAACCCGCAAATAAACATCAACAATTACCACCACTCTCACTTCACCAACCTCATCCTCACTCTCATCAACATGCAACACACGTGCTATGATCTTAATACCCTTGTGCATTACAAGCGCGTGAATTTGATGCACCACACTCACACTCCCATTCACCATCCCAAGTCCCCTCCTCCCTCCTCTCTTCTTCCCCACTGTATTATTACTTTTCTTCGAAGAACTCCCCCTTCTCCCCACTCTCTTATTCTTCTTCTTCTTCCCAGCATTGCTGCTCTCTTGAGGAGAAATTGTTTCGTTCTTGTCGCCTGGATTCGATATCGGAGAGAGAATGACATCGTTTAGAGATTTGAATCTGATTTGTTGGTGGCTGCCGTCGGTGACGAGGTGGCAATGAGAGAGGAAAGGGAGGGGCTGTGGTGATGTAAGAACTGTACAGAGGTAACCGCAGAGTTTGTGGTCTGGGTAAGGATCGTGATCTCGATCGTCCATAGTGAAATTTAAATAAAATTAGGGTTTTTTTATTTGCGGATTTTGCTTAATGTTGATTCATTGATTTTAATTTGCAACGCAATATCGTGGTTGTTAGGAAGAGAGACCAACGGAATTGAAGGCGGTTTTCGTCTCGATGGAGATAAATTAACCATTTTATATATAAAAAAAACTATAATCGACTCCTCTACCATATAAATTAAAGTATTTTAGACTGAATAATGCTAAATGATTAATTGTTGGCTAATTAAATATTGACATGTGTCTTAGCATCATCAATGAAAATGGTCCAATTCACATGATCTGACCAAAATCGATATTATATACGAACATATAATGATTTTAATCACTAATTATTCACAATATTTAACATAGTTTAAATTCAGAATATATTCTCTAAAAAAATCTTCTCAAATCTCTAAAAGGCATTGTTTGGTTTTAGCGTGTGCGTGTAAGATTTTAGAGGAAAAAGAGGAAAGCAGGAGAAGGTGAAAGACAAAGTAGGATAAAATGAGCACTTAACTTTCATGATGAGAAGCCAGATTGAAATTTTTAAAATCACAAGGTTAATATCTGGAAATGTTAAACTACAAGATCTGAAATGAAATATGTTTAAATCTTTTGGGACTAAATATGGTTTATTGTAAAGTTCTTTCATTGTGTTCTGATTGTCGTGGATTTACAAGTGTGGTTTGGATTTTTACCAAAAGAAGTAAACTAGGGGAGGGGAGCCCACGGATTTTGTGGGTCCTGTCATTACTAAAGTAAACTAGGAAGTTCTGTCTGCTTACGGATTACGATATCAGACCATGATGGCAGTAAAAAGAGTCTGTTTTCACTTTTCTTTCTGGGTAAGCAAATTTCATGAATAAGTCCTTGAATTGTTTTGTATTATGAATATTGATCCATGTAGTTTGAAAACTTGTATAGTAGTTCTTTATACTTCCTTTTTCTATTGTCCTATTAAATTTAGCTATCAGCAATAATAATTTTCAACCAGTGTGTAAATTAAGTTTAAGGTATATATATATATATTATAAACAATGAGAGTTTATGCTTCTTAATATTAAAAATCAGTTTTTTTTTTAATTAAAAAACGAATTTTGTAGTATTAAGTCACATTTTTTCAAAGAATAAAGTGAACGATTGTTTGAAAAGTTAAAATCACTCAAAAAGTTGAATTCAAAAGAAAGAAAAAAAAATCAAACATGACAATACAAGAGAAAAAATGTTAAATACTTTGAATATTGCTCCTTCATTTATATAAAAATTAGATTCACTAATATCTATCAAATTTCTTTGCTGTGTAGTTGTTTACCTTGCTCTTTCTCTTGCCAAACTGCTATGGGACTTCCACATTAAGCATAAAACCAGCATACTATTGTCATGTAGTCAAAACCATAAAATTTTCAAACCAGCGAATTTGGCTCCTTTTTTTTTTTTTTTTTTCCTTTTTTGATGTTATTTGCTTACCAACAATTTCTTTAGATGTTATACCTCTTCTTCAATATGCCTTTATGTTTCTGCATTTTCTCATACACTGCCTGCAGAAGGTAAAACAAAAACGAAATTATATCAATCAATGCTGATAATTGTTTAAATTTTTTTACAAGGATAACAACATAATCTTTACCCACGTTAGGGAAACAATTTTATTGATATACATAAAGCTTACGGGAAATTCAGTGAATTGGACTTAATTTTACATATTGTATCTAGATGGATCAAGATACACGAACAACAAAGGATTTGGAAATTGGTTATGAACTTGTGCTAAGAAATTGTAATGTGATGGGATGTTTATAGAAGGAAACAATCCAGCAATTGGCTTATAGTTAAAAAAAGAAGAAGAAGAAGAATAATTTTGGGTGTTGAATTTGATGATCCAGGAGATGTGTGAACACACCAAATGATTTTTGAAGAAGAAAAAGGAAACAAGAAACTATTCTTAAAACCTGATTATACAATTTTCTTTTTATATAAGGAGATAATACAGCATCCGGCTTGAAAATATTAATTCTGACAGTATAGAAAACCATCCTTCCAAAACTCAAATTACCATTCACTTCATAATCTACTTCTGCAATTCAATGCCTAAGTTAAAAAAAAAAATTACTTATTATTTTGAGTGTTTATTTTTAATAGAAATAAATAATTCTCACCTTGTGAGAGGGGCAGGCCTAGCATCGATCTGGATTTGAAATGCCATGAACTACAAGCTTAAATTCTGTTTTTGAAGGGAAGCGGAGATGCTTGGACCAAATTCTTTTGCCTCTTTATTTTTGGTGTACAAAAATGACGGACGCTGGTCAATTTATTGCATAAGAGAGTGTGTGTGTGTATATATATATATGTTGTCAACAGTTTTGGAAAAACAAAGAATAACATGGAAACAATTTGCCTAATTTAATTTTTGAAATAATTTTCTATGCTAAATAAATTTGTTTCCTCGAGATAAATTTTATGAATATATATTTTGAACGTGAATGACTGTATAAGAACTTATAGAAAACGTATTTAATCTCTTCATGTAAAAACAAGGGTCAATTATTCTTTCAATATTTTTACTTTTTCTATATTTATTAACAAAAATAAAATAAATAAAAAATAAAAATTATTAAGTTAAAAATAGATTTAAAAATATTAGGATGAATTGATTAATTATTGAAACTAAAAAGTCTATTTAATTCTTCTAAACAACTAATGCGACTAATTCACAATTACTTAAACAAATTAGGATGAAGGTCTCAAATCATTTTTGAAAAATAAATAAATCTAATTTGCAATTTGTATTTAAAGTTATGTATATATATAATTAATTAAAACAACTAAAACAAAACTAAAATTACTCTTCATGTAGCACACTCTCTTTGTTTTTACTATTCATTTACTGTTCATTGTGTTTAGATTTCTTACTTATTCACTATGTGTGTGCCACCGTTTGTTAGAAAATATGCACTTCGATCCCTCTTTTTTAAACATTTTTTTTCAGTCAGCAATTTCATTTTTCATTTGTTTTAGTCCATACATGATAAGAGGAGAGAGAAACGGAAGAGAGAGAAGGAAGGAGAGAGATATGCACTTCGATGGTCGAGCTTATTATCACTTTATTCGTCTCGAAGAACAGAATCCTTTTGTAGTAGTGATAAATGATAAAATGATCGAAGGAGTTAGAATGAGATCCAAAAGTATTTTAAGTTTTTTTTTTAATTTTGATTTGAATTTTTCTATATTTTATGTGTATTAAAATGAGTTGTAAATGATTTTGTTGATGTTATTTCTATAATTTTCGGGTGTTTTTAAATTAAAAAAAAGGGTTGAATTTGATTTTGAAAGGTCGAAAATTATAAAATCCGACTTTCTAACGACTTTTATAGTGAATCAATGTCGCCAAAAATTGCAAAGGTCCTTGAAAATTAAAGGCAATCAATTTTATTTATTTTTTTTTTTTTGCCTAGGCTTGCGGTTCTATTCCTTATTTTTTTCTTTAATTTTTTTAATTAAGAATTTTTAGGCAAAAATTATGCAACATCAAACATTATTATTTGTATTTTTCACACGATGTAATGATGATAAAATATATATACTATCTTTATATATTTTAAAATTAATAAATATGTCAAATTATATTACTTTTATTATGTTAAATTTATTCTTTAAATTGTCATTTCTTATTCAAATTTCAATCTAATTAATATTTTTTATATAAAATTTTATTTATACATAAATATGATTTATTTTTCTCTATATTTGTATTTTAGAACAAAATTTTAAAACGTGATTTTTTTCTTTTTTTAAAAATGAATTGATATAATATATATCATGAATTCTTAATATATGTGTGTGTGTGTGTGTGTTGGAAAAAAATAGAAAAATATTACCTAAAAATTTTGAATGAAAAACATCAAAGCAAATTTATCAAATTTTTATAGGTGATTGTCTCAAGGCACAACCAGGTTGCTTTCTTGAGATGATACACGTCGTTCGTAAAATTTTATCCGATGCAATGGATTAAGGATATATTGCACGCCGTCCCGTGGATACAACAAGCTTAGTCACTTTGTCGTGTCTTCTCAAGTTTGTACTACTTGTAAAACTTAAAACTCAATTATAAACTAGTATCACTCTTACCCAAAGAAAAAAAAATTACCAAAAAGACAATATGCTTTTTAAGTGGGAGACAAAAGAAGATAAAAAATTAAAAGAGGAATTTTTATCTCTTTATGCAAAAAAAAGAAATATATTAATGTTTACTCTCAACATAATGTGGGAAAGAAAAAGCTATTGTTGTTTTTTTTTTTTTTTTTTTGTCTCAAATGGTAGAAAAGCACGCATATATATAGTTGGAAAAAAAAAGTCGTTAGAAGAAAATTAAAGCCATGAATTTAAAGCATTAAAAAGCAAACGGTACAAAATAATGACATTGTACTCGTTGCTTTTATTTTTTTCAAGTTACTTTTGCAACTCACAATAACAACCTTTATTGTGACAATTTCAAACAATACATGTGCTGTTTGAAACATACCTTTTTCTATTCTTTTTAAGTAAAACAAATATTGTATCACATATATTATATTTAGGTACTCTATGACAAGTTTCGGAGCCAGCACATTAATGGCCTTATGCTTCATCCCGACTTCTATGAATGTTCTAGAGAATTAGCCCTATTCTCATAGGAAGCGACCCCACTTCCTCACTCATATAGGTGTTTCTATCAAGGATGCTCTCATAACTCTAACATCCCATTTAATAAAAATTATATACCACATTAAAAATTTCCTCTAAAGAAAGTTCACATTTTTTTTGTTATGAAATTCATGCACTTACACCATAGAGATGAAAAAATATGTTAGTGCATGATAATCAACTACTCTTATTATTCGTTTTTTCCTTTGAATCTAGATCTTGGGATCTCCAATCAACTAGGTAGAGTATCCTCATAGGTTGTTTATTTTTCTTTGGGCTTTAGACCCATCCCCCTCGATGTTATCCAAACTTAT